TAGTTACCAATTATCTTCAAAGATGAAACAAAAAACAAGATAAACACCAAAGACAACAGTATAATCAGTACTATCGAAACTTAATCCAGTGGTCAAGATCAGTTCCTTTGCCTGGCCCCACTATCATTCAACTGCAAAACTACCACAACACCTATAATACACACACACACACACACACATAAATCAAGGGCATGACAATTGAAATTATTGATTAAATGAAGAGAAAAGTTGCGTAGTGCGAGAGAGTGGACCTGTAAATGACGTCTCTCTGAGAAGCAAAAGGAGGGTAGTGGAGATTGTTGTTGAGATGACCGTTTGAAGTCTCCATCTGGGGTTTATCTTGCCTCACCTGAAACACCGTCCACCGTGGCGCTGAAGGATGACGGCGGCGGAGATATTGAGGGTGTGAGATGATATTGGAAAAGTAAAAAAGTGACAGTTTAGTGACTAACTGACGACGACTGATCAATAACAGGACAAAGTGGCTTGAAGAATGAACGTGGCGCCTGGAATTTGTTGACCGTTACCGAAAACCTAGCGTTAGATCGAAAACGATGCAGTTTTTTTTTTTGAACGATGCAGTTGAGAGAGAGGTGTTTGTTAGGAGATTGCTAAGGAGAGAGAAAGAACAGATGGATATATGGGAATCTACGACAGTGGAGGCTAAAATGACAGTGGGTTGACATTGACGTCATGTCCATATTATTAGTAATTTTTTCTCGTGGTTAATTGCATTTAGGTTCCTCAAGTTTTGCATATAATCAGATAGACCCCTCTAGTTTGATAGCTAATACCAGGTTTTAGTTGACAGCTAACCCATTATACCCAACTCCGACCCCCAACCCTTTACTCAACTAGAAAATTGAAATTCTAAATACAAAATAACAATCTACGTAAGATAAACTAACAAACATACCATAAGATGCATAATTATTCAAAATCAATTATTCCAAGTTTTTGTATCAATAATTAGAATCATAACTTGGACAGATGTAAATCATAACTTAGATAGATATAAACATTACATTATCTTATTATTATTATCCAAACCTCGCACGATTCTCAAAGCTACCACCGTCTAAGCCTTATCACTAGAATCGATGATTTCATACATGCTGATGGGACTTTTCTGAAATACTCTATGATGAAGACACGTGTTCTCGGTATTACTAAAACACTATTGCTAAGATCAAGCACCATCGGCGCACAAGGACCTCGCCTCCGAGGTACTCAGCATATAGGGTCATGCATTCAGTATGTTGTACACCAACACGTGGCCTCGGTCTGATATGGTACCTCGGTCGGTGTCCCTACCTCGGTGCCGAGATGATCCTTCCCTCGATGCCGAGGTGTACCGTCCAGGACGCCTCCTCTACTCCAGGATAAGCTATTGACGTACAGGTCATTAGCCTAGGCTATTCTAGGCTACTCATCATTACCTCGTCTTACACAAGTAATATCAGAACGTACTGGAACGCAGAGGTCACAGCCAATAAGGGATGGACACGTGGCGTATGATATCACATCAAAGACAGAGAAATCGCATGCTGTTGCTGACACGCAACTTGGGAAAGCAAACAATTAATTGCACCATTCCCTTGATGAGACCGCATTCAATGCGGTAAGGTTCGAAAATGAAAGGCAGTAAATGCTCCTAATACAGAGCATTTATTGCATCCTCCCCGAGAGGAGTACATGGTACCGTCGGCATCCCGATGACCCAGCATTGATTGCTCGGGACCCCGAGCAGTTAAGAAGAAAAGGCATTCCTCATCAGAATCAGTGCACACGCAGCCTGTGTCTAATGATCACCAACTGACCACACTGACAGCAATCATGAGCTTTTGAGGTATAAATACTCCTTGCAAAAGGCAAGACGGGTATGCAACAACAAACTCTTTACTACAATACACACTCAGTGTTTTCTCCTTCCTCTCTCTCTCTCAAAGACTGACTAGATCGTCGGAGGGGATACGCCGGAAAACACTCCGGCGCCCTTCTAACTTGTTCTTCTTTGTTCCAGAATCCTCTTTCAGCCTTACTGGATCGTTCTTCTGCTCCCCCAGGGTCTCCAGTTCCCGTTCCAGTTTACCACCGGATCTCGCAGGCTGTTCCAAGCAGCGTGATTGATCGCTCAACTGGCTCACTTGAAGTTCACCAAGGGAAATATTTGTTCTCGTTTTTTATATTGTGCAGGATCTTGCACGCACACATGCATAGCACCTCGATAGCACTACATCGTTGTGCACATACCATACACGACCAGCATCCATATCTACCCCACACCCAATCTCCCAAGCTCCCACCAAATTTGAAACCACTTAAATCAACCAAAATCCAAAATTTTTAAGTTACAAATGTTGAGAGAGAGAGAGAGAGAAACGGCGGTGGTGTGTTTGGCAAAAGTTATGGGTAGGTGGTGTGAAATGCACAGATATCTCCCAAGCTCCCACCAAATTTGAAACAACTTAAATCGATCATAACCCAAAATTTCTAAGTTACCAAAGTTGAGAGAGAGAGAGAGAGAGAGAGAGGTGGTGTGTTTGACAAGAGTTATGGGTAGGTGGTGTGAAATGCACAGATTTTGTCTTCCTAAAAATTACGAGCAAATCAGTGTTTTTTGCCTTTCTGTTACTGCCCTTCATGGTGGGGCATATCTCGCAAACAAGACCATGAAATCATTGATATTTTTATAAAAGTAGAATTACGCTCATACCTTCTGAGGTTTGTCACTTAATTACTCAGACCCATTGACATTTAAAATATTATATACAGATCCCTTGAAATTTGTACGCGCATAACACTTAAACCCTTAATGTAAATATATCTGTTAATAAGTTACACTTAAACTCCTCTGAAGTTTGAAAGTATATAATATTTAGACCCTTTAAGTTTAAAATGTTATACTTAGACCAAAAATATTTTAATCAAAAATAAAATATCAAATATTTTAAATTTTACAATTAAAATTCATATTCTATTGTATCATTTATTAAAATAAAATCAAAAATCAAAAATCAATTTTTTTCTTAAAAAATCATAATTAGTATACAAATTTTCTATTGGAATTTAATTTGGTCGAAATTAAAATACCAATTATCTCAACTAAAGATAAAATATATTATGTCCATTACATTTTGACCTCTTGTTTATTTTTTTTAGTTTTATTCTAATAGATAGTATAATTATATATTAACTATAATTTTTTTTTTAACACCTAAATTGTTATTTTTAATTTTATTTCAATAAATAACATAATAGAACATGAATTTTGGTTATAAAGTTCATGTTTTATTATGAATGACTTAAATCTCTTGTTGATTGTTTAGTTTTATTCCATAAGATAATATAATTGTATATTAATTACGATTTTAAAAAAAATTAAAATTTTAATATTAATTTTATTTCAAAAAATAATACAATAGAACATGAATTTTGATTGTAATATTTAAAATATTTGATATTCTATCATTGATTGAAGTAATTTTAGTCTAAGTAGTATTTACCTACAAACTTTAGATGGGTTTAAGTATAATTTATTAACAGATATATTTATATTAGGGGTCTAAGTATTATGCGTATACAAATTTTAGGGGATATGTGTGTAATATTATAAATGTCAGGGAACCTGAGAGATTAAGTGACAAACCTGAGGGGTCTGAATATAATTCTCCCTTTTATGAAATGTTTAATAATGAGAGTGAATTAGAGGGGTCAGGTACATGGTGGTGCTGTGGTTAGGAGACACGTGTCCTCTCTCAGGTGATTGTCCATCCAAAACTTTAATCATGGATGGGCTTTCTTCCTCCCATGGCTTTTAATTATGGATAATTATTATGTTATGACATTATGGTATAAAAAGAGAATTATGATCAAATAAAAAATAACACATTATTAAAAAGAAAAGGACGTGGAAGATAAAAGAGATTGAAATAGATAAATTTAAGAGAAAATGAATACTCTTCCACTATAGATTCATTGCTTATTAAAATAATAAAATAAATAAAATAACATAACTTTTTATTTCTCCTCTTGTGATTGGATGGGAAAAAGATGTAATTTTGATACTTATGGCTAATTCTTTTTGGTTAGGATGGAGCGAAAGGAAAAGGAATATATGTCATAGTATAAAAGAATAATTAAAGAATGTTGAAAGGTTCGAGCAATTACAAAGACTCCTCCATCATCTATGGGGATTTAAGCACTTAATTTTGCTCACTTAAAAAAGATGCGACTGAAACATAACAAAATTAAGAACTCTTACTTTCCGTCAATGAAAATCGCATTCATAAATCGTGAATTATTATATTTAGACAATAATAAATTAACTCGAGAATATGTATTACTATTAGAATTAAATTTTCTATAATGATTGGTTGTTGGAAAAAATTGGATGCAAATAAAGTGAACGGCAGAATGAGGCGCAGACTAGGTCACTTTCTTAAAGACGATTCGCACCCCTTTATGAAATAATCACAGTGCAGAAAGTAGTAACGCGTCGTCCCTAAAATACAATAATCCAGCCTATTGACTGTTATTTCACTCAAATCTGCATAATTGAATAAAACAGAAGCTTCACACACACTTTTGAATATTGTCCAGAATTTCTATTGTAAGAAAAAAATTGATATGATATATATCTCTATATCGAAATACGTATATATATAATATATGCGTTTAATAGGCTGAAAAAAATAGGCTTAATACTAATTAATATTTTATTTTATTTAGGCGAGCTAGAGGGACCCACTACCCATATATGTGTTTAATAGACTTGAAAAAAATGGGTTTAATACTAGTTAATATTCTATTTCATTTAGGCGAGGCAAGGAGACCCACTACCCAGATCGTGGATTAGGTACACTAGTGTGGTTCGTAGACTCTATACTGAAATACGTATATATATAATATATGTGTTTAATAAGGCGAAAAAAGTGAGTTTAATACTATTTAATATTTTATTTCATTTAGGCAAGTCAGTGAACCCATTATCCATATACGTGTTTAATAGGCCGAAAAAAGTGAGAAAACAAACAAAACATGGAAGCACACAGATTTGAGGGAGAGAAGGGTTATGGGAAAGCAGATGAAAGAGAAAGAGGTCATGGGGAACCAAATCAAAGAGTAAAATCATGGGTTGAGTAATTTGCAAATTATTACATCTTACACGAAAAAACTACAAAGTGGACACAAACCCTAATGAGTCCCACAGAAACATATTTACTCTTCGTCCTCATCTGTCACAAATTTGCCAGTCCCTGGATTAATGGCTGCAAGGAAGAAGAAGACAACATTTAACAGAACAAGAGGTTCAATATCAGTGATTGGAACACCAGTCTCGATATTTAGTTGTGCCAAAGCTCCCTTTCCTGTAATAATTTCTCCAATCAGAGAGAAAGCAAAGCCCAACTGAGCCAATCTTCCCACGAAGAGCTCATTCGACTTTGTGAATCCAAATAGCGGACCTGACAAACAAATAGTAGCATTGTTAGAATATACTTCCCCCTCATCCTATGTGCACCTATACACACATTGTTTTTGTGTTTGGTTGCTCCTCTATGACTTGGGCATCACGGTTTGACTCAAAGAAACAATCTCCACACATGGGATCATGACCAATTTAGACTCTGCAATGGCCAGAGCCGCGTACATCATTCTACTCTTTACATGAAAATTTGGTTCCTCGTGGCTTTGAAAGTTGTCTCCTTCAGCTAATCATGTGAGAGATATATCGGAAAATTACCTAACTAGAACACAGTACATTTTGTGCCCAGGGGAAGGGGGGTTGGGAATTTGTAGAGGCTGAAATAAACATGGGAGCATTTTTGGAAGTGAAGAAGTTAGCAACTTGTGATAAAAACCCAACTTTGGTGAAAAAATCCCTCCAAACTTGTTCTTATACTCTCCATTGGTCAAAAATCTGTTCAAATGTAAGTCAAACTTCTTTGAAGTTGCTTTTGGACATACTTGCAATAGGATAATCAATATGTAATAACTAAGCTGCAGTATGGAAATGAAGTTTACCTCCTTCTTTAAGGCCCAATGCTGTTCTGAATCCTTTGCCAGGAGGGATTACAGCCCTATCAAGTCCAGTGGGCTCATCGACAAAACGTCCCCGGTCACCCAAAGCTCCAATAGCTCCAAGCAGAGTGAAGAGGATGAAGAAGAGTAGAAGGGGCTCAGCCTCATAAATCGGAATCCCAGTTTCCAGATTCAGTTGTGATAGGATTCCCTTCCCTGTTATTGCTTCTCCCAATATGGATGCCTGCAGAGCTTGTATTAATTATTGCCTTCAATATCAATGAACTATGCGATTCTTACCTTGGTTGATAGGTTGAATTCATGGAGGATCAATCCCCATTTTTCATGACCATCAACCGATATGATTTGGAATGTGAGAGAATAGATCATGACTACAAGGTTCTAACTCAATTTGACGTTTTCTTTTTGCCTTTCATTGGTTTCCTTTTTTATACAAAAAAAAAAAACTTTCAGGATGGCCTACCATCTCATTGCTCAAATGACTGCTTTTTGATTGTGATTTCCTATTCAAAATTGGAAAGTAAGAGGTCGGACTTATAGCGTTGATGAGTACTCATCTATCGAAAAAGCCATGACACGGGTTTGAGTCTGGCAACTAGTCTCTTCAAAATGGGGTAAGGCAACCTACTACATATCTCATACGTAAATGGAGAGAGTAGTCAACACAATGGAGATACCACGTCATCATTTGACCCGTTGTATTGCCAACCACTTAAAATTCACTACATAAACCTAGTGAATCCCACCGAATTCAATAATCACCACTAATAACCATAATCTAACTACCACATTGGATTAATGGGTTTTTCACTAGTTCAATGTGGTGTTTTATAATTAGTTGGTGTCATGGTGATATCATATACCAATGATGACATAATATTACTGTTACATTGAATATTTACTCCTGTAAATGGGAGTTATGTTCACTAGGTATGACCTTTTTCATAATTGAGAAGGAGAAGACATTAGGCTTTTTTCAGCTGAATAAAATACAAGAACTTGGAGTTTGCAAAGCTAAGACCTTAAATTTGACAATGTATCAGTCGAAAAAACTTATTTTCTTTTTAATCAGGGACTTAACAGTGGCAATAAACTGACAAATAAATTCATTCAGCCTTATAGACAAAACAAACTCTAAGTATAATCTAAGAATCAATCCAAAAGAACAATTACTCACAGCAAAGCCAAGCATGGCCACACGACCCACAAAGAGCTCATTCTCCTTGGTAAAACCAATGCCTCCAGAGGTGCCAAATATACCGTCTTCAACCTTTGGCTTAGAAACAGCCTATTGCCCAAAAAACAAAAAAAAAAAACACAAAAAATAAATAAATAAATATTGAGGAATTTGTTTCAATTTCAGAACAAACAAATGCAAACCTGCTTCTTGGGAGTGGCTTTGGGTTTTGATTTGAAGAGAGCCACAGTTCTGGTTGCTGAAGATGAAGTTGACCCAAAAGAAGTGGGAAGAGGGGGAAGTAAGAGGAGAGAGAATGGTTTGGGTTTTAATCTTTGAAGCAATGGCTCTCTCTTCAAATCAAGTGCAGCTCCAGAAACATTGGCAGTGAGCAGCATTGTTTGAGCCATGGCTTTTGCTTGGCACTTGCAGATGTTCTATGGAGAAAGCAAAAAATATATATTTGAAATTGTAGTTTGGTTATTGGAAAACAGATGTGTGTCTGAGAGTGTTTTATCCATAGGTGTGGATAGGATGTGGGCATGGTGATGGGCAAATAGAGTGACCACGTCTCTCTCTCTATATTCTAATCTCTCTCTCTATATTCTAAGGAAACAACCTGAAATCACAAGTGTCATTTGAATCTTGTCTCCATTTTTTTTCCCCATTTTTTCTTGCTACAGCACGCATCATGTTTTAGAGGAATCCACTTATGTATTTAAATTTTTTCTAATTTTTTTTTTTTAATTTTTTAAACATAGATTACCAACCATTGATTCATGTAGGACATATTATCAATTTGTGGGTTCTCCAACTACGGAAATTCTACTTATACCCAAAAAAAAAAAATGGGTATCATACTGTCGATTATCACTTTTTATGGATAAAATTATAATTTTAAAAGAAAAAGTTGAAGTTGTTCAAGAGAAGGTGATAATCAATCAAGCAAATTTGGGTATCGATTCGTACATTTTATAATCGATCATGCCCTTTAAACTTGTAATTTATACTTCAAAAAAATTATAATTTAATTTTAAAAAATTGTAATTATCGGTTCGATACCAAAACTTTTCCCCTCGAAGTATATATTAGTCGGAATTCTACTGTTGAACGAAATTGAAGAAGAATATATTATGGGAGATCTTGCTCTGTAAACAAAAATCCCACTTGAACTCATTGTAAATGATCTACTAAGAAAAAAAAGAAGTTAAAAAAATATATGTTAGAGGAGATCTTCTTCCTGTGTATCGAGTTCTTATCAACTCATCAACGGTATCTAGCGTCATTCCACATGGCATAATATAAATATTTGTATAGTTAATGCATCCTCACGTGAGGACCAGGTACTCATTAGGCCAAATATGTGGGAGCATTATCGCTATCAAGGTGATGACGAAATTCAAGCATATGATTTTTTTTTTTAATTTCTTATCTTACTAAACAATTATCTCATCTAATATCTTGAATTAGAAAAAAAAAATTTAAATTATGATTGTTTATATATTTCAAAAATTTTATGGGTGGGGCTATTCCCGCCCTACAAATTTTCATTCCTACCTCATTTAATTTTTTCATTATCAAAGTACTAAGTTCATCTTTTTTATACCCGTCTCATTAGTAACTAAATTAATCTCATGCTACATATACCATTTTTAATAAGTAAACTCATTTTATATCTTGTTATAATTAAAGTTTTATTCTCTATCTCTTCTCATGCACTCAAAAAATATGAAATTTTTTAATGAGATATAGCTTAGTATTACTTCTTAATTTAATTCTATGTTTAATTTCATGTTTGTTATATAGATTTTCATTATTTTTTGGTATGTTTTGATATATTTATCAAGTTTAATAATTTTTTATTTAAAATTTATATGTGTGTGTGTATATATATATATATACTTTTAGATTATTTGTTCTTTTTTTATCTTGTTAAGGTTTTGCAACTATATTTATTATTTTTTTTCTTGTTCGATTTTGTGTCCATATTTGATGCTTTTTTTTTCATATTCAATTTTGTGTTTTGTAATTTTATTTGCTTCTTTAATCTTTACTTGATTTTTTTCCTTCTTATTTTTTTTTGCTTTTTTTTCTTATTTCAATATGCATCTTTCTTTCCTCTTTTTTTTTTTTTGTTTCGTTCCTTTTTTTTTTCTTATTTCAGCATGTTTAATTTTTTTTACTTGTTTCATTTTTTATTCTTTTTTTGTAAATATATTTATGCATTGAAACTAATTATCTTCTTTAATTTTTTTTTCTTACAATGACTTCTTTAATTAAAGGGGGTATACATAAAATGATTGAGTTTAACTATTAATGAGATGTATGTAGTATGAGGTGAGCTTAATTACTAATTTGGTGGGTATAAAAGGTGTGAATTTAGTAGTTTGAGAATGAGAAATTTATTGAGATGAGAATGAAGATTTGTGAAGTAGAAATAGCTACACTTAAATGTTATTGCTTCAACAAACTTAACACTATACTTAAAGAACTCCTTCTAATATTACAATTCCACGTACTTAAAATATAATAATAACAATAATAATATTGGGTGTAACGGTTACACCACGTTATCACACAGATATGGTGTAACAATCAACTAATAAAATAACAAGTGGATCACAAATAATTATATTATTTAATTATGTGGGACCCATAAGTCCACTTGTTGTCTTACTCTATATCAACGTGATATAACCGTTATACTTAATATTTTTTAGAATACTGTGTATAACCAATTAAAGTAGCTAAGAGAATAATGTGGGAGACTTAGAACAAGTTGAGATCGCCGACATAGTTTAAAGGTACAAAGTGCAATACATTCTAAAAGATACTATGAGGCAAATGTAGAGAATTTGGACAAAAGACTAGAAGCATCTCTCTCTTGGGTTCAGATTTCAGACGTGGCTCAACAAAGTCCAACCAATTGTTAAGGAATGTGCACCACACACTCACATGTGTCCACTTTTTGGTAGGCACCCACACCTATGGCTTTTCCTTGGTTTGGGAAAAACAATCATAGGCCTTGTGAAACAAGGAGAGTTTCTCAAATTACAACATAAGCACTCTAAACAAAGAAGCTAAGGACTCGGCGTTTTTTTTTTTTTGGGGCAAGTGACTTTGTATTAGTTTAACCCAACACAAGTTCTTTGTTTTATGTAAAACCCAAAAATATATAACAATCGAATTGAAAATGTGGACCCTGATATTGACTACCAAGCATACAATTATATATAGAGTTTTGCAACTATTCAAAAATTCGACACCGACTCTCATTCCGGACCAATTCTGCCTCTGTCGGAGTCGAAGGACAGTGGAAAATTCCAATAAAAGTCGTAGTCCAAAGCCTATTCTGAAAAATATTCAACTCCTATTCCAACTATTTATTAATAATTTTATTATAATTATTATATATATACATATTATTATCAAACCCTAACGCGTGTTACACATCTCCATACACTACATCTCTCTCTCATTCCACGCTTGTCGCCTCCATACACCATATCTCCCTCTCACTCTCAAGTCTCACTCTCGCTCTCATATCTATCATCTAGAGAAGAAGAATCGTGAAGGATGAAGCCTTTGTCATCGACGGTGAAGCATGAAGCCTTTCTAGTAAACCCTTTTCTATCTCACTCTCTGTCGTCTCATTCTTTCTCTCATGTTATTTGGCTATTGTCCTTTCCCTCTTTCTCTCCCTTTCTCTCATTCCTATCTTCTGCAACTGTTAGCCGAAATCTCCAATTAAGGAACCCTAAATCTCTAATTTTATGTTTCAAATTTTGGACCCTAAATCCCTAAATATTAGCAACGAGTAAAAATTGGCCCAATTTTGGCCCAAATTCAAAACTCTGGTCCGACTTCGTCAATCGAAATCGGAGTAGAGTCAGAGTTAAAGACAATATACATTAGAGTAGGAGGCAAAAAATTACTCCAACAATAGTCGAAGTCGAAGTCGAAGTCGAAAGTCATAATTCATGATTCTAATTCCATCAGAGTCAGTGTCCACTCCTAACTATATGGTAAGGGTTTAATCCTCAAGGAGTAAGAAACATATTTCTTTTTGCGACTTTGGCCACCATTGTCAAGCCAGCCAGAGCCTTGAATTATTTCATTAGGTAGTAGGGTTTTAAGGGTCAACACTCCAAGGTAAAAGTTTGAGTCTCACAATAGATGTTCTAATTAACTCAATATGATAGTTTACAAAAAATTGCATGCATTCTAAATTTACGTAACAATAATAACTTTAAATCTTATATGATTGGGATAATTATCGATTATAAAATAATTTGTGTTGGTGGGATGCGAAATACAGTATGGGTCCGGTAGACAAAGCACTAGGCCTTCCCACATAGCTTCTAAATTTCGCGGTTCATCATTTCATTAAATGTATTTTTATGTAAATTGGTGGTTTATCACACATTGCTTCGAAAAACGACTAAATTAAGTATATTAAGAAAAATTGTACTATGGCTGTTTTTAATTTTATTTACAAGTTTATCATTGTTTTAAATTTATTTAACAAATTCTCATATTTTCTAAATCGTGTTTTTAACTCACGTTTTTTACAATAAAAGCATGAGTTAAAAGCACACTTTTTATGCAAAACTAAATAAAGTTCGCTCAGAAACCACACTTCACTTTACATGAAAATTCTATTTTCTCCCTATTAGCACATTATGGTTACATGCTTTTCCACCATTATTAACCTTCACAGCATCATAGTGAACAATCATTATATCAACTCATGCAATCATTTGTCGAGGCCCAATTTTTTTTTTAAAGCCCTTCACTTATACAATCTTTATTTCTCCTATACAATCTTTTTTTTAAAGCCTTTTTTAACCATGGTTGAAGGGTTTTACTTAGAATATTGTCAATTCAATCATTTTCATCTGTTAACTTACTTTGTTTTTTTTGTCTAATGGTTATGGGTGTTTGAATCAGTTTACGTACATTTTGACTAATCTTTTTTTTGATCCGATTAAAAAAAAAATCATCCACACCAGACCTACGATATTCATAAAAGATAAATTTCTCATAACTTGACCTTAAAAAATTGTCAAAATTCAAATTCATGATATTTGAATTTATAGCTCATATCATATGTGTTATCACTTGAGCTCTATTGAAACTTTTAAGGGAAAAACTATTGAAATTTAAACTATAGGGAATTGATTGCAAAACCATACAAACTTGGAGAGAGGGCCAATAAGTAATTCAACCTAATATGAAAATGACTCCAATATAATTTTTTTTTTAACTTATTGTACGGAGGGGAATCTGCTACCAAGACTTAAAAGTTAAAACTCAAGGTGGTTCAACATAATTTCTAGAATATTGGGGTTTCTAGATAATTTAGCAAATAACCCCTATGGTGTTAATGTAATTTGGCCTTCTTTTTTTTTTGCCCTTTATTTCGGGATTCTTTGCCCTTTATTTCGGGATTCTTTGCACCTGAGGCGCGATTCCCTACAAGCACAATTGATCTCTCCACTAGTTCCCCATCATGACTTCACCAACAAACCACTTCCTGCCGTTGATCTGATCTAACCTTTAACTCCTTGTCACAATCTAGGGATATTCTTCAATCAAACGGCTAGGAAGAAGAATTCGTGGTAAGGCCCCCACTCTTTATTAAACTCCTTGCCCCGAAGCCAGGACAACACAAGTAATAAAAGGTCTAGGAAAAGCTGGCATGCATTATCTATCACTCAACATAGAGTTCTGGATAACAACACTATTAGTACCCAAATTTTTTTTTTTTTTTTTTTTGGTTATATCAAAAAATTTTGTTTTATTATATCAATAAATTATTTTTAACTATAAATTGTAGTTTGAATTATTTGTCAAAATAATAAAATATAATGAAATAATAAAATAATATAAATACCAACATGTTATTTTGTGATTAAATAAAAAGTACATATTAAAAAAAAAAATCGTACCAAGTCTGAGAAAATCCCTGATAGTACCTTCTATTTTGTAGAAATTATTTAAATATGTTTATTAAAATAGTTAAATTTGAGAGCAAATTTTTTGTTTTTATCAACTTTAGTAGCACGGACTGTCTACTTTAGTAAAATAATAGCCTCGAAAGTCAAAATATTCATAAAAAAGGCATACTTGAATTTTTTTTTTTTCATTTATCGATTATACAATAGAGAGTAGAATGTGAATTTAACTCTTTAAATCTTTTCGTTCTCTATTTAACTTTTGGAGGTAAAGAGTTTAACTTTTTGTGGTTATTAACCCTCTGAAATAGATTGTTGAATAAGACTAGATAGTCTATTAATTAGATAATTCTATTGAGTTCTCTATCCTATTTAAAAAATAGTTTTATAGTCGAGAGCATTTAATGAAAAATATATATATGTCATCTTTTCATTCCTTCAAAATAAGATAGAAAGTAAATAGAGCTTTTCAAATGTAAAGAACTAGATAAGACTCTCTAAAGGAGACAATTGAGTAAGAATAAAGAGCATATTGGAGATACTCTGAAAGAGTCTATCGCAAAAAATCAAGCTCCAATAATCTCAATTGACACAAGTTAAAATAAGAAGCCCAACTCGACTCTCTAAATTTGAAAAACAAACTCGTTCTTTACTTTATTATAAAGACGCATATAATTATTTCTATAATAACATTACGATGAAAGTTATTGTTTTGTTAGAATGTAGAGTTGTACCAAGGGTTTTAATTAATGTCCTGTTCTATCAATTTCAAATCGTGTTATCGTTTTCATGTTAGCATTTGTGTTAATAAAAAAAATTATTTAATTTTAATTAAAAAATATAAAATACTTTTTTTCTATTTACAAAACTAACTAATCAAGTTATTCGTGTCTAAAATTTAATATGATTAATTTATTATTTGTATTTATCAGTAATGTCATTTTCGATTTTCTATTGTGTCCTCTTTGTCTCAATAGGTTAAATTGACACTCCTAATTTTATTAGAGTTGTTTACAAAATATCACTCTATTTTAGATTTAATTCCTATTTTTAAAAAAATATCTATCTAATATTATAACTAGAAAGTTAAATTTTTAACTTATATAAACATAATAATAGTCAAGATTGATTAATTTTTTATTTATTTTTATTCAATAATACAAAATTCATTAAAAAAATAACTCAAAAATATCAATTCAACCACACTTACCTCTCTTCCCTCTATTATTTCTTATTTGTTCATTTTAATTTTAAATTGTATAATACAAAAAAAGGAAAAACAATAATATTTTTAATATAAATATTAAATAAATAATGTTCAATTTTTAGTAATATAGAGTTTATTCAAATACAGATTATTATTGGTGTAGGCATGGGGGAACTTTAACCCTGCAAATATAAATGAACAGTAATCTGTCAGCATCCATGGGCGGGAATGGCTCCAGGCTCCGCTCCAACTCGATTTCAAAATCATAAAAAAATTGAAAAATTAAATGATAATAAATTAAAATGGAAAAAAAGCTGAAAAAGTTGTATTAAAAGTCTCATTCTTCACTTTCGAAAACATCATATTCATAATCACATGCTCTGGCTCCTTTTTATATTTCAAACAAAATCAACAGAAAAACCTCACTATCTGTTATCTTGTGGGTTGTTGTCTGAATGTTCACTGACATTCCACAGATCTTTGGCAGAATGGCTTTTTTTTTTTAAATGATTCGTTTATGTTCTGTTCTGCAATCTGAAATCTGAAAACTCCAACCCATCTTTTGCTTTCACATTTATTACTGGTTTTCCCATCAGATTTCTGGGTTGGTATTTTTGTCTCCAGTCAAAGGTATGTTGATTTGGGTTTTGTTTGTTTCTAAATGTTTCCTTTTTCACCTGTTTCATTCTTAAATGCAAAAATTTCTACAGTTACATGTATATCTCTTATGTATTCTTGCAATTCATAAAGTTTTTGGGAACTAAGGATGATATTTTGCTGTTTATCTTTAATGGGTAGCTGAAAACTTGGATCTTTCGCATTGGACAGTCCTGAATCTTCAGCTCGGGTCTCATATTTTGTCTTTGTGGCCACTGTTCTATTGATTTAGATTGCATCATCTTTTTGAGTTTGGGGTTTTTGGAAATTTTGGGTCATTTTCATCTGATGGGTTTTTTTTTTTACTTTATAATTTAATTATTGGGTCTTTCGTGATTCAAAGTTCAATGCGGGGTTTCTGAAATAATTTCTGGCGTTGGTTGGAGCTTGCAGTCCCATTGCCTTGGATGTGTGCATATATTTCTTTTTTTTTTTTATACATATATATATTTCAGTGAGGTGGATTTAAAGCAAAGCTGAAAGAATGAGAAGCCAAGTTACCTTTATTGTTGAATGGCTAAGATTGTAGAGGATGCGATGTCTTTTGTCTGCTTTCCACTATCGGTTGTGATTCTGTTAACAAGCAACCTGTTGATTGGAGAGCATGAATTAATTAAGGATAGCCCTTTTATGCTTATAATTCTATTGTTACTGCAATTTTAATAATACTTTATGGTTGCATCTCAGTGGCTTTCCAAAGAATGATGTGGATGTACGTGCAGGAATTTTTCTAATGTGCTAGTGGAGATTTTAGTCGGACAATAAGATGGAAAAAAGGAAATGGTTGTGGAAGAAGAAATCATATGAGAAGAGCCCTGGTGAAACAGAAAGTTCCGGTTCAATATCTTCACATTCTGAGAGATATTCTGATGAGCAGGTAGGTGAATGAGCCTTCCCTTCAACATTATATCCAGATAATCCTTTTACGGTTCTTCAAGTTTTTTCTATTGTGCAAGCTTTTGAATTTCAACCATGAAAAAATTGACTATGCCCTATTATTCATTTCCATTGTAAAAATTTCAATCGAAATTAAACTGGAATAAACAATGTTTTTGGCTGCATTATATAGAAGTTTTGGATTATTTTTATATGAAGTGGTCTTAGGTGGTTTTATACATGTTTTGGCACAAAGTCCTAATGCTTATATGCCCTAGAGTGATTATCTGTGTTTTCGCTAACTCAAAGAAACAGCTAATATGGTTGAAGCATGCATGACAAATAATGGACTATTTCTTATCCAAAAGAATGAGCTGGTTCTATGTCATTAGCAACGAACTTGCTTTTGCAAGTTGGTCAGAGTTTTTTGTTCTGAGTTATGGATTAATTCCAGTGTTTTTTTTTAAATTTTAATTTCTTCTTTACAAAAAGGATGCTCTTTCCCCTATAGAGCACTGGTATATCTTAACCACAACTCACTTGTCTACTTTCACCAAACAATAATACGGAGCCGAGTTAATGAGAAGTTTCCAACAATATGGTCAGGTTAGGCTTGCCCTTATGTTACGTGGACTTCATATGGGGTGCCAAGGCTTCCAATTCGTCTGGTTTCCAAATCTTTGAACATGAATTCTTAGCTTGACTGTTATAGTATTTGATTGCTCATGGTATAAGATGAAGATTGGTAGATAAGGTACTTCACTCCTTTAGAATGTTCATATTACATATAAGATGTTTTCTTAGGACATTTCAACTTCCAATGAGAATTCTGTTCCTCATTTCGGTGGTGAGACACTTTGGTTGTGTGTGCACCTGCCATCTTGTGAGTTGGGACACATATTCTACTAAAATCCTTGTGTTCCTTAGTGATACTGTAAGATTATCTAAGTAGTATGTGTTTGATAACGAGAAGTAACCTGATCTGGTGACACAAAGTATTTTAAGCATGAAAGGCTCTTCTATTGTCTCTAGATTTGGAACGTATTGGCCTAGTTACAGTTTGTGTCAAATCTCTTCAACTAGAAGCGGGATGTTGTTTTGCATCTCCATCAAATTGGTTCTTGAAATTGACAACAATGGAACATGATTGTGCAATGTTGTAACACTCAACTCAAAACCAATGAGCAGCGAGTGACGAAGTCCACAGTACTCAGATGCTAGTTTGGAAGTCTCTGAATTCCTGAGGTGAGCCAAACTCTAACATGCAAGGAGAGGCTTTTTGTGTCATTGCAGATTCCTCTGAAAACAAATCCACTTGTTATTGTTGGCTTTCGTAAGATTGGGAAAAAATATCAATATATATGCAGTTGGATTGGCAAAATCAAACTCCCCAGGTCACCTGCCCGGACCAAAAAGACCAGTTTCCAGGAGAGGTCATAGTGATGACCTTTCCTTTTCTTTTCTTTATTGGTTCTTTTACCATCACCAGGCAATTCATCTCAAAAAAACTCATCTTTTGAACATGGAGAAAGACATCTTGGGTGCTACGGTTTTTTTCAAATTTGTATTTCAGTTTGCGATTTATTTCATATTAGAGTTAATAAAGCAGCTGTAGGTTACTAATTATCTAACTAGTGTTAAGAAAGGATTTACATTGTCAAAGTTCCAATATCATTCCATGAGCATGTTTAGTTGTTTACTTCAATTATATGAACAAGCATATTCATATAATGAGAGCATTAACACCTTCACTTTGTGGGTTCCATTTGGTTGATAAAGGGCGTTTAACAAATGAACATAATGTGTGTGTGTGTGAGTTTTGCGCAAGGCACGGGGACATAAAAATATTCTCTACAACAGCAAATGTCTAAACAAATGTATACCTACCTACCTTGCACAGGACAGAATAAATGTGCAAAACTGCATTTTCACATTGTCTAAAATTACCATTATTGTATGTCATCTTCCAACATAAATATTTATCTATTCGTATCACATGCAAGGCAATATCAACACCCAAAGAATGCTTTGACATTGATTTTAACAGATTCTTGGCAAAATATCAGCCCTTTAAAAAACTTGGAAACTAGTTGGTGAAACACCCTTATGCTCACCTTGAATTGTGATGGAATGAAGTGTATTTCTCATACTTTGGCCTTTAGCAATTTTTTTCCCATAAATTGTTGACAGTGTTACTCTGACTGAGTAATCTGACCAAGATCCCCTTACCAAATTACTTGGACTGGCACATTAGTGGGCCACACAGACTGATGGTTGTAAATGTGCTATATCAGTTGGTATGCTAAAGTTCGTAGTGATACCTCTTTAGTCTACAATTGCTGGTTGGGCTAAATAGCTTCCCAGGGGTGTAATGGTTAATTTTTCCTTACATGGTGCCTTCAAAATCTTGTTGATCCATGTGAGTTCACTGCTAATGTAACATTTCTTTTTCCCTTTTCTTTTGGGAGCAGGAGTCATTGAAGGTGTCTCCTAACCATAGCATTCAATCACCAGAGGTCACCTCAAAAGCCTCAATCATTAATGACTACCTTGATGATACTGTTAAGAGTCTGAAAGAAAAGTTATCAGCTGCTCTTGTCAATGTTAGTGCCAAAGAAGACTTGGTTAAGCAGCATGCCAAAGTGGCTGAAGAAGCTGTTGCAGGTATTAGTTTCCCTCCATCGGATCTCAGTTCTCATGAGCAACAATTATGGAAGGCCACATTTCTGCATCCTGGGGCTGTTTCAGTCTTATATCCTTCTGCATAAGTAAATTTGTTCATGATAGAGTTCGGAAATTGTTAAGTGGAATAATTGTGCACAATTACTTGCAGAGGATAGGGTTCGCATTGAATTGAATATAAAAGGCAAATAGAGGTCTAGATAAGGC